AGCATCAACCTCAGAACACTGTTGCGAAAAGCAAATGTGACAACTACATGGTGCCAATAAAGAGCCAAAAATGACACTTTTAAAATAATTGGATAGCTCCGCTCGCCGCCGCGCGCAGCCGCGGTCTTGGCTGCCAGGACTCCGTTCCCCAAGACCGACGGTGTCCCGCGCTCGGCTCAGTCTCTCCGGCTCGCAGAGGGCAGGGGGGCGCCTTTCGCACCGCCGCCATTATGAATATCCGCAATGCCCGTCCGGGCGACCTGATGAACATGCAGCACTGCAACCTCCTCTGCCTGCCCGAGAACTACCAGATGAAGTACTACTTCTACCACGGCCTGTCCTGGCCGCAGCTCTCCTACATCGCCGAGGACGAGGACGGCAAGGTCGTGGGCTACGTCCTGGCCAAAATGGAGGAGGACCCTCACGACGTCGCCCACGGGCACATCACCTCGCTGGCCGTGAAACGCTCGCACCGGCGCCTCGGCCTGGCCCGGAAGCTCATGGACCAGGCCTCGCGGGCCATGGTGGAGAACTTCGGGGCCAAGTACGTGTCCTTGCACGTGAGGAAGAGTAACCGGGCGGCCTTGCACCTCTACTCCCACACCCTCAACTTCCAGGTCAATGAGGTGGAGCCCAGGTACTACGCGGACGGGGAAGACGCGTACGCCATGAGGCGCGATCTGTCGCAGATGGCAGGTGAGCCGAGATGGCAGCTGGAGCCAAAGAAGGGCGGGCACGGGGTGCGGGCTCCTGGGAAAACCGGGCGACGCGGCGGCACACGTCCAAGTTCTGAGGAGTCCTGCCAGCACGGGAACCCGGCTGCCCAAGCGAGCTCACTCAGGGCACCGATGTCCAGGACAGCTCAGGACTTGGATTCCTTCTGCTGGAGTCTGCTTGAGGTGTTGTCTCTCCTGGCCAGGGTGCCTCGCTGTACCAGATCCCTGCACTCAGCTTGGCCTGCCAGTCCTGTCCTGTCCCATTTGGGTCCTGCAAGGCTTTACAGTGAACCCACTTGGTGAATTATTTGGGAAAAAGTATAAGGAGTTTGGGTGAGAAGACTGCTGGCTACTAGAAATTCACAGGACACCAACTTATACCAAAAGTAGATTAGAAAAGAAACAAGCATCAATCCTGATAGTTTGCTGTGAGTTGTATTTTAGAGCAGTTGTGTGAAAGAAATTTCTTCTAATTGACAAATGAGAAAAGATAGAAAGTTATCACCATTTTACAATTCTTGTTGGATTAGTGGTTCTGGCCAATGGTCATTAGTAACAAATACTGTTAGGTGAAAGGTGTAGCATTTCATATGAATGGACCAGATAACACTTGCGGTCAGTTGTCAGTATTAACGTTATTAAAAGTAGAAACAAATATGGGCCACTTAATAGGAACTATATAGTATCACCTATGAAGTATTTTTGCCAAAAGAAAATGATGCATGTGTGATTTATCTTTTTTTTTTTTTAAAGTTAAACCACTATAATGCAGTCAGTCAAATTTAGAATGAGGGAGTTTCTACAGAACAAATGACCTAGTTTCTTTAACAAATAAGTATCACTCAAAAAGGAGGAGGAATAGAAATTTAAACATAATACCAACCAAATTAAATTATTGATTATTGTTTGGACTGTGATTTTAAAATTTTTTTTAAATGCTTATTTTGAACAGGGTCTCCCTATGTAGTTCAGACTTGTAGCGATCCTCCTGTTTTAGCCTCCCCAGCACTGGAATTACAGGTTTGTGCCACCACACCGTTTTGGTGACCACGGCATGTGGTCCCAGGAATCAAACTCAGGTCCTTGTGCTTGCCAGGCAGGCACTTAGACTACGGAGCTATCTCCCCAGCCCCATAATTTTTTTTAAAGTATAGACAATTTAAAGAAAACAGGCCAAATTTGAACATGGATTGTATTAAGGAGGTTTTAATAATTTTGTTTGGTGTGCTAAATAATATTTGTATTATGTTACAAAAATATATCTTTTAGAGATATATTCTGAAATAATTACAGTTAAAATAATATATACCTTGAAGTTAAATTGCTCCAGCAAAAGAAAAAATGATTGGAAGAGGGCAAATAAGAATGGCAGTATTTCTTTGTTGAAAGGAAACTAGCTACTTAAGGGGTTCCTACCTTATTACTATTCTTTTCTCTTTTGAATGTGTGACATTTGAAGTACAAAGTAATTATTGTACCTCCTAAACACATTAATAGTAAGAATCCACTGAAAAGTAGCTCATTTATTTTTAATTTTTTTGTCATTTAGAGACAGGGTCTCACTATGCAGTTCAGGCTGGTCTTGAATTCACTTTGTAGCCCAGGCTGGCCTTGAACTCCGAAGAATCCTCCTGTGTCACCTGATGAAAAATAGTTTTAAAAGACTACTATCTTAGGAAACAGCTCACCTGTAGTAATATAATAATATTTTTTCCATCAAAGAATTTTATATCATCATAACAATTTCAAGAGTCAGTGAGCTGTCAGTAATTTAGTCTTTAACTTCTTATTCTAAACAGCTTACCCTCATTAGCAAAAGGAAACAACTTTCTCAGGTGAAGCCCAGTGTGAGTAATGTATACTACGTATAATTAAAATGAATGCAATTTGATTAATGAACTTATTCATAAAATTCTTATTTGTCATTATTTTTACAACGAGTATATAGAAGTAATCAAGATAGACTATTGTTTATATCATAAAATACAAGTATAAATGGATTTCTTTGCATTTTAATATTCAGGCCCTGCCTATACTGAACACTAACATTTTATTTTCATTCGCTTATAGTTCCATAGATTAATAAAAGTTAGATACATTAAATCCTTAGGGGTTGGAAAAAAAATCTGTCTTCAAAGAAATTTTTATCTCTGACTTTTAACCTAAAGATTTCACAATGACTAATTTATCTGATTCAAGGTTAAAGTAAGGGCAACAAAATTATGTACAGAGGAAGATAAAAACAATACCTTGAGATGTTGTTAAATTTTTTTTGTTTTTTGGTTAAATTGTTTTAATCTGTTTTATTTTTATGTTTTTGTGGTGTCAGGGATTTGAACCCAGGACCTCATGGATACTAGGACAAGTGCTATACCACAAGGCTAGGCTTGAACTTGTGTTTCTCCTGCCTCAGCCTCCCAAGTAGTTGGAACTGCAGATGTGTAATGCCATGGCTGCCCAATTTATACATATTTTGAAAACCCCAGAGGGCTATATCAGTACAGTTGTATTTAAATTAACAGACCATTGGAAAAAACCTACTAACTTTCCAACTTTACTATAGGACTTACACAATATATATAGTGTTGATCTCATTTTTTAGTTTTTTAGCCAAGAACATTGTAGAGATTGTGTTAAAGCCATGTATATGTATATGAAATTTTATAAATCCAGAAGTACTTAGCATCTGCTATGAGAAACAAAAATAACTGCCATCCTGGTAGGAGAGCAATAATCAGTAAGAAAAATAAATGTGTAGCAGTTATAGCTCTCTAGAAATTCAAACTTTAAAAATTATCTGTCTTTACTGTACTTGTCCTTCATTGCCAAGCTGAAAATGTTTCCTTGCTTCACCTTCTTCCCAAGTTGATACCTCATGAGACATTTTCCATGCCCCCCACCTAGTCTTTGGTCTTCACTCTTCATTTCTGAATCTTTCCAGCCAAAGCGTTCTTGGGCATTCTTTGCCATATTTGGGCCATTTTGGTAGCAGGGTATGTTAATTTGGATCAGCATTGTTCTGGGGTTGTGGAGCAGAAAGGTTCTCTTGATAAAGCTCTGCAGGACTCCATCTAGAACAGGTGTTCATGAAAAACTGTTCTCTAGCCCCTTTGGCAATCTGGTGCAGCCTAGGGACATCTCATTTTTTTTTCAGAAGATCATATGGTATTATCAACTAAAAGCAATTAAAATACAGTTATCAAATTTTTAAAAATAGCTTTGTTATAGTACTATATGTGCTTTGTTAGTGTATCAAATTTAAAAATATAGTAGTGGGCCTAATGGTTATAATTATTTTCAAGTAAAAATTGGAATAAATTATATTTAAGATACCTCCTATAGTTGTAGTATATGAACATACTGTGATTTTTTTCTAGTAATAAAGTCATAACTATTACTAATACTAGTACACATTAGTACCTACGTTCATAATTGAAAGCAATGTTGAGTTTCAGTTTCTAATTTAGTGACTGCTGTTTTCTAGAATCATGTGTCTCTTACTGTCTCATGTACATTCAGTAGGAGATAAAAGAAGAGAATGCATGTAGAATTTCATGTAGGTCTTAACTCAGGGGGAGCCAGGAAATGTTAAATAGCTTTGTGCCAGGAAGGAAAGGAAGGAGTTATGGCTGTTGCATAGTATAGTTTCTGCCACAACAGGAAACATCCTAGTGCTGCTCTCACCTGTGGGAAGCACTGAATCCATGTTCAGTGAGGAGCATGGTGTCCTTTTGCTTCCCCTTTAGGACAGTGGTGGCAGACTTACGGCACACATGCCACAGCAGGCTGTTTGCATCATTGAAGGCTCTGAAAGGTTCACCATCACTCATAGGATATAACACAAGGAACTCTCTGAGGCTATCCATGTTGCAAAAATACATGACATGCATTTCCTCTCATCCTATCTACAAAGAAGTGTAGATAATTAATGGGATTCTGCTATCAGGCCTCTCATTAAAGTCTGAAATACACAAGCCCTCTACTCCAAAATGCCCCAAAGTGAAGCTTCAATTCTGTCCAATTCAAGATGGAATCCCAGCCCATAGGCTAGCTACCTGAAGGGGAAAAGGCAATAGTAAAGAAAAAAACGGAAAAAAGAGAAGGATTTATATTACAAAAGTGTTATCCTGCCACAATGGTGGTGCTCCCTCCTCTGAAACTAGAGTTCAAATATGTACTGAAAAATATCCTGAAAGGTCGTTTTCATTTTCCCTTATTCCCACTTTTGGGTCTTGGCAACAAAGATAGTGAAGGGATGGAAAGGATAGTGAATAGGTCAGTCTATCTATAAACTTGGATATCTGCATCTAAAAAGTAGTAATAAAAAATATTGCTAACATGTAGAACTCACTGTGTGGCATTTACTGTTGTAAGATTGTGAAGGATGTCCTTTAGCCCTCATGATATCCCTGTGAGGTAGGGACTGTTTGTTACTCCACAACTAATACAGCAACTGTGACCTGTAATAGTAAATATTCAGCTTCCTTTCTTTGCAGTAATCAAGAGATGGAATGTGGTGTATGTGCAGCAACAGTTTGCAGTCTTGGAAAGGGGATGCATTTTAAGGATTAAAATAGCTTTCACTGACAAGCTGAATGTCAAAGCATTCAGCTGAATCAATGCTCATCAGTAACAAAGTTTCTAGGGAGCCATAGCAGTGAAGACAGGTCAGTTCAAAACATGCTGGTCAAGGCAGGAATGCCATCAGACTGCTGCTCATCTCCTGACAAGATATCTGTGCATGATTAATAGCAAAAAAGAAAAAGTACAAAATCTTAACATTTTCCATTGAGCTAGCGATACTGAGCCAACTAAGGTTACATTAGTGACTGTTTCTGGTTTATTCTTTCTGCTGCTGAGCTGTCATTCTAACAAAAAGTTGTTAAATGTTCACATGAGCATTTACTGAAATAGACTGTTCTTAATTTTACCAGACAACTAATTATAACTGGAATGATATAATGAAATATGGAAGAAAGTTAGAGACTGACAGATCGGGTAAATTCCTAGTATAACCTTACCCCAGATATGCCAGAAACCATAGATTTCAAATTCAGCTGCACTCTATAAAGATAAGAGGGGGCTGGGAAGAAATAAAATATTGTTTTGATATACTAATCAGAAATCAGATAAATTCCGTTTGTCAAATTGTAATATCTAATAGTGTTACTGTTCAGTGTATGATGTACATGTGGGATGATTGAAATATCAACTTTAGCAGTGGTAACTAATTAAAGCAGAAATTTTTTCCTAAACATGTCTCTGTACACTTTTCCTGTACTCTGATGTATAAAATCTAATGTATTTCATAATGAAAGAAGGACCATAAGATGTGAAAAGATTCTGTGAATTGATTGAAAGAGCTGTAGTAAAAAGGCTTTTTGAAAATATTCTGCAGTGCCATTCAGAATATTGTAATATATTTTTAAAAAAGTAAAACTCTGAAATTCTCTTTTGGTTTATAAGGTCATGTTAACAGTTAATGTATATTCTTCAGGGTTTCATGTCCTACCATTAAGAAAACTAGTAATGTAAAACTCTAAGCTAAGAAATTAAGGGCTGTAATACTCATTTTGTAGAGAGTGATACAGATACATATAGATAGATATAGCTATATCTACACACACATCTTAAATTATCTTAGAGCACTTATTCCAATTTTATTTGACTTGTTGGGCCTATTTAATTAAAATTATAAAGCAATATTTACACAGTAGCTGAAATAACTATATGATGTAGTTTTTATACGCAGCAGCTTTTGCATAACTTTTATAAATACAAAGATAATGATAATTTTTCTAATATACTACTATATTTCTAATTCCTCTTCATAGTGAATATATTTTTAAAATAGGATTTTGCACAATAATTGCCTTCTGAAACTTGATTCATTATTATTTTTCTGGAAATGTTTTCTGTAATGATTTTGTACAAAAATCCCTTTTGACTGCACTATACATAGTAGATGAGAAAAGGTAATTCATTTTCACAGTTGTATCCTACTGTTGTTTTGCTTTGTTTACAGTTAAAACAGGCAGCAATATTATACTAGGCCTTCTATAACTTAAATAAACCATTCCTGGACCACACAAACCTTATTGAGGATAGGTTCTGCATCTTATTTATCTTTGTTTTCTTAGTGACTGACACATTAGTCATGATAGGTTCTCAGTGAATAGCCATTAAAGGAATGAATGAACTAGTAGCTGCCCTGTAAGTACCCATATATAGTTTTTAAAAGGAAGAGAGGAAATTGTGTATATAAGATACTATGTCCTTATATTACCCAAGAAATTAGGGTATTTTAAGTTATGAAAAGGACACATAGTGAATATTGCACATTCTTCAGATCTACAGAAATGTTTTGACTTACAGAAATGGGAATGTTGCATTTAATGTATCAAGAAATAAGAAAGCCTTTCATTACTTTAGAATTGATGTTTCTTTTGAGTGATATAAGATGGGATGGAATTTAAGATGGCAAATAAAAATATCTCAGTTTCTTTAGATTTAAAGTAGTTTCTTTAGAGCAAATCTCCATCTTTCAGGGTCCCTCTACCATACCCTCTCCCTGCCTTTCTCCTGAAGGCAGAAATGGCTTTTCTGCATTAGGAGATGCTCATGGGTCCTAATGGTAGAGAGAGAAGAGAACCCAAGGTCTGTGTGGATCTTTGTGTTACCATCTCAATTCTTGCCTATTTCCATTGAGATATATCTAGTCCAAATTAGTTACCATGTGCCTCATAGATAGGTCAAGCCATTCTTCTGCCATAGCTTCTTCCAGAGCCTGTTTCCCTCCCTTTCTCATTTACTCTCTTTCTACTTCTCACCAGCATTGTAGGTACTTGTATCAGCCACATCTGCTTCCTGATCCTGGCCTGGCCTGGCTGCTCTGCAACATCTGCTCTCCGATCATCTCACAGTGACCCAGGTGGCGTCTCATTTTCAGCTCTCAACAGCTTTCCACATACCCTGGGGGATCGTGAAAAAATGCCTTGACACCAGAGCCTGCTGTGCAAGGGCCAGGAAGGCTGGAGGCCTGCCCTTACAGATCCTTGGTCTGTCTGCGTAGACTGTTTGTAACAATCCTACGTTAGTTGTGGTTTTCCTGCAAGGTTGTCTCCTAGATATGAGACAGGAAGCTAGAAAAAGTCTGGAGGCTCAGAGCTCTCAATTTTTGCCATTAATTCATCTGGTTTTTCATTATTGAGAGAAGACAGGACCATCAAGTTAGACTTCATAACTCATTCCCCTTCTTTTCTGGTACAAGTATTGCATTCCTCTTCCTGTCTCTGAACTGTCCCTCTTCCTCCTAAGCGCCCCCTTTTTGAAAGAATATTGTCCTCTTCCCTGGGGGATAAGGTGTTAAGTAAGGTTGTCTACTCAATAAGCAGAATTTGGAGATTTTATGAAAAAAGATTATCTGCAATTAGAATGATCCACCTCTGTTAATTTTTTTTTTTTTTGTAATAATGTAACTTAGGATTGATTGCTATGGTATTTACTAACAATATATTCAATCTTATTAGTGACTCTGAGGTAGGCATTTATTCTTTTATAGCTAGCTAAAGAAACTGAAATAAATCTGAACCTAGAATCTGGACCCAAATCTATTTAAGTTAAAAGTCAAAGTTGCTTCTACTCTCCTGTTGCTATTGTTTGTATTTTATTTATAGAAATGTTAAAACTTCAACAGAAAGGGGAATCTACTGTTTAAATATGTAAAATTTTAGCTTAATGTACAACTAATGTGTCATTTTTAAATGTATATATATAAAACCTTCAATTACTATTCCCTTTTCAGTATCTTTCTCTAGTACAAATAATTGAAGTATTTTGATCTTTGAAGTAAAAATAACTTGATAAATCCATTATCATCATCACTTCATGTGGTTTTTCTGTTTGCTGCATATAAATTACCAAAGTATATAACATTTTTCACATTTAAATTTTCATGAAAACTGTTGTATATGGATTTAAGTCTAAGCCCTGACATTAACCGTCTGATGACAAGAGATAAGGCTGTTCTCCGTAATCATAATCAGCCCTGCTAAGTACTTCTTACAGTACCCAATGCACTCTGAGACTGTCTGCCTAATGTTAAATAATTGCCTGAGGCAGATATAAAAGTAGAGTTCTTTTCCTATATAAGAGCCATTTGCCATTTAATGTGCCAGTACAAACTTCTCATCTATCTTCACATCATTACTTTTTCTTTTTAATTTTCTACCTTACCTGTGAAACTATTTTATCCTTTCTACTCAAATGTGTGTTTATCTTTTTGTTTTTAAATATTACAGCTTTCTAACATCTGTCTCTAGGGAAGCATAATCTTACTGATGAAATATTCCATGTTTTCCTTGAGCCCTTGTCAATATGTCTTCATGTTAACAGCTCAGCAGATGGAGAAACAGAAGGAGTAGCCCCGACTTACCTGAGTGATTTCTCTCCAGCACCAGGCACGGTGACTGTCTCTAGTAACTTGATGAGAGGAGTTGGAACAATTGGGAAATAAGATAGAAAATATGACTCCTGCAGTGTTTCCTAAAACTGCTGGCTGTTTTCTTTGTTAGTAGGAGAAAACAGAATATTAGCAACCTGTTTGGGTTTTGCCTATTTAGATAAGTAAAATAAACAGTAATAATATTTAGGACATACATTAGCATATTCCCAGGTGGTTTTAGGATAATAACCTGTGTTTTAGCAGCAGCAGCAACAGTGTCTTTTTGTGACACTGAAATTGTGGCAACCTCTAGGACTGCTTTTTGTAAGAGCATTGTATTTTTATGTAGGACAGTTTTGTTTTTTTTTTTTTTCTTTCTGTGAATGGGCTGCTTGTTTTTCCGTAACCATAATCCTAGAGAGATGAAACATGTCAGACAGCTTCATGTGCAACTTCACAGGTGGGCTCGAGTCCATCAGCAAATTTTCAGTCAGCGATACAGTTTTTGTTAGTTAAAAGAGAAACTTGTGAATGAAGCTTATGACCTGCCTACTTAGTCTGTATGGTTTTCCTTTTCGAGGTAAGAATAAGAGACTAGGGGTGATTATTTAAAATAAAAATGACAGTGTATGGATGAGAGGGAGAAGTGGGGAATAGTAGTGAAAATTAGATGAAAGCTGACAAGCTGTGGAGAGGATCAAGAAATAAAGCAAGTTTTCCCAAATGTTTCTGTGCAACTAAGTCATCTCAGCGCTATATTTAATATGCAAGTTTTGTTTCAGTAGGTCGGGGGTGAATGAGGCTTGTGCATCTGCATTTGTAATTACACAGTGCTGATTTTGCTGGTACAGAAAGTACATTTTGACTAGTAAGGTTCCTAAAGCTCACCTCTATTATTGGCTGTGCATGTAAAACACCTGAGACAGGCCTTTATGTTGCTTGACTTAGACCCTAAACAATTCAGAAACCCATTCTTAAATACAAACTGAGGTAAATCCTGTTTGTCACAAATTACAGACATAATGCATACAATAAAATGTTTGTTTATATAGTGTGAAATTTATTGATAATCAGTATTACCCCTTATGTTAGTATACATTAAGGTATTAGTTTCGCCTCATTATCACCAATGCTAAAGTTATTTCACTCTTAACATTTGACAAGAGATTTTAAAAGAGTTCTTTCTAAGAGTAACAGACCCAGACATGGGTAGAGGAGGTGTGGAAAACACTTCAAGAGAGATTTCCCATTCAAGGAGACTAAGTCCATTTCTAGTGTGTCTCAGTATAGTTCGTATGCCTGCTTCATTAGAGTCAGCCAGGACCTATGTTAAAAATGTAACTGCTCAACTCAGATTTACAAAATCAGAGTCCTGCATTTTAGCCAGCTCTAGCTAATTGTTCACAGCATCATCTGAAAACATTGGTTACTACAAGCTACTGATATTATAAAAATAATTTAATGAGAGCTTTTTCCATTGACAGTACTGTCAGATTTAAAGTAATTCATTTCAAAAACGGGACTCAGGTGGTACTTTTTTAACAAAACAGAAGAGATTGAATTGTATGGGAGCTCTTTCTACAACCCAAAACTGCTAAAATTTAAAACAATTTTATGTGTAAACATTTGATACCTATATATGATTATACATATATGTGATTTTTGTGTGTGTGTGTGTGTGCCCTTTTTGGGGGTTGGGGTGTCAATAATACTTCCAAAATCATTAACTTTTCAAGCCAAACTGAAAAGAACCTTGGCTTTGATGGTGTATACAATAAGCCCAAGGATTGAGAAAACTCGCATACAAATCATACTATGAAATTTTCCTAATTTGTATCCAAAACAAAATGCTCAAATTCTGCAGTGTGCTGTTAGGAAGCAGACACGTGACAAGTCAGGGACCACATATCTTCCTTGTATGTTGCTAAATTCTTTGTGTCCCATCAGCAGCTGGAAGTTGTGAGTCTTATTAGCACAGTACCTAGGCAGAAGCCAGTGAAACAGACTGATTTAAGAAAGTCCTCTGTATTTTTTCCAAGACATAAATGTTTTGAAATCCTGAAAGATACAGATCATTTCCTTGGAATGCACTTTAACGGTTATTTACATACCATATTTCCTTATGTGGGCATGGGAATTACATTTTGTCAGGTTCTAAAATATTTATTATAAATCATACATTGTTTTTCCTAAACAAAATAAAGATAGATTTTCCACTTTTAGACTGGGATCATCACCTCCAATGCATATTATACCAGTTTACCTAGAGAGCACAGCTCTTCCCAGGTTGAGCAGTTTTCAGAAGACAGTTTAATAAAGTGGGAAATAGCAGCTCTCAGAATCCAGTGGCTTAAATTTTAGTCGTAATCTGACTTATTACCACCTGGATATGCTCTGGCACATCAATTTTCTCAGAGAGACAAAAATAACCTCCATGCCATTGAGTTAATGTATAATGAAGTCGTATAAGAAAACTGCATTGTAATTTGTTAAAAGACATGTACATGTTATTGCTAACATTTTTTTTACATTCAGAGGTTGTGTCTACAAATTTAAACCAGTGCAAAATAACAGTGATCATTTTATTTTTCCTCCCTAGTGAAGTAGGGGAAAAAAATCAGGCATTTACCATCAAAATATATGTTCATGTAAAAACAAAATGTGGCTTATTAAAAGTTTTTATCTCTTGCTTTCTGTATCCTAAACACTCATATTAAAGTTGACCACTGAGTAACATGTTATAAAGAATATCGAAAAATTACATAGGGAGCTTCTAAGAAACAAATATTTTCACTTGTTCCTTTGGCATTTGGGATATTCATCCTGGGACACCACCTGGTTGAAATTTCCTGGTGGGTGAGAACTCTTTTGTGAAATGGCAGACAGAGGAGTATGAAAGAAGGTGACAACAACAGCACCGTGGACTTCTAGACAGATCATTTCAGGGATATGTACCACAGATTGAGGCAGAATGTCAGTGCTTTAAAATTATCACCACCTGCAGTCCCAGCACTCTGAATGGCTGAGGCAGGAGGATCAGAAGTTGAAGCCCAGCCTGGTCAATATGGTAACTGAGACCATTTCAAAAGTAAAGAAGGACTGGCAGTGTAGCTGAATACAAAGGCCATGGGTTCAAATCCCAGTACTGAAAAAGAACATCTGTATGTATATCCATGCAAAAGCAAGAATCTTTTTTTTTTTTTTTTTTTTTTTTTTTTTTGGCGGAACCGGGGATTGAACTCAAGTCCTTGAGCTTGCTAGGCAAGCACTTATTCTACTGAGCTATCTCCCTGGGCCCCAAAATCAAGTATCTATGATATAATTTCCAACACTTTATACAAGTTCTTTAATTTTATTCTCTTCCTTATAATTAAGGTGATAGAGTAGGTTATTCTAATACACAAAGATCTAAGGTGTAAGTGCCACAACTTTTGTGTGGATAATTGATTAGTAGTGTCTTTGCCTCAGCTGTTTTAAATTAATGGAGCTAATCAATGGTAAGCAGAGTTAAACTTACTCTAGGCCTCATCTAGTTATGTACTGAGGCACCTGCTTTGGGGATATTGGGAAACAGGGTCTCACTACATAGATTGGGCTGATAGTGAACCTTCTGTTTTCAGGCTCCAAAGCACTGGGGTTACAGGCACACACCACTGCACCAAGTCTCAGTCACTATCTCAGTGTGCCCCGGGGACAGGGCCAGCACAACACACTGGGGACTGAACCCCTGCCACTGTGCTCTGCCTAAGCAGGCACTTTCGTCGTCTGCCGAGCTATCTGGCTGGCCCTTGCCCTGCTTGATTTCTGTGACAGTCCTAGCAAAACTATTTGGCAGGCTAAAAAGAACACCAGAAAGTAACTTGAAATGGTAATTTGTTAGGATAGAAATCTTAATTCAGAGCTACAAAATCAGTTGAAAAGGGAGCATTTAATGGAGGAATAGCTGTTAAACAGTTAATGATTGTAAAATCTTCATTGAGTCCTCTTCATTTTCAAAAAGGTGCAGATTTTTATCACTAGGAATTTTATTTGAACAGTAAAGCATTATTTCTATATAAATTTTGTTGGAACACATTTGAGTTAGTTTACTAAAGAAGTTCCTGTCTTTAATAAGGAAAAACCATAAGAGTGGCTTATCTTAGAGTATAAAGCTTTTAGAATCACCCTGTAATTCATGGCTTATCCCTGAGAATTCAAAGCCTTATAAATAATAAACCTTTTTTCAGGACATAGTACACATTGTCTTATGTCAGATAAGGCTCAACTAAGCCAGGGACATAAATGAATTCTTGATTCATCCGTGATACCCAGTATTATTCTCTTTTGGCTGAAACTAGAATGCCTTCAAAATAGGGCTTTCATATCACTTTTTGATTCCTGTCTCCTTTGGTTCCTCTTTCTTATAATTATACCAATCAGTAATATTTGTCTCGTAACTGATAAGCAAAAATTTTAAATTCATACTAAATTATTAGTAACTGCTAGATTTGCTCCTATAAACAGTGTTGATGGGGTACATATAAAAATACCCATATTTAACTCAAATGAGTCTGAATCAGTTCAGACAAATCTTGTCGTCATTCTTAATCCACTTTTTGAAAGATCTAAATTGGGAGTTCATGAGGTGATGTGTCATCTGAGGCCACAGTTTTCAAAAGGAAGGAAGCATTTCCTAACTGAACAGATGAAGGGATACTATGTGAACAGTGCCGTTTGAAGCTTTACCACTTTCAACTTCTTTCCTCCAGGCTTTTTTTCTTTGTTCTCCATATCTTCAGCAATTCAAACTTTCCATTTCCATATCCATAAAATAGGAATAATTGTAAGGTTGCCATAAAGAGTAGGGAATTGTTATGAGGATTTAATAAAATCTGTTAATTAACTATGCCAATATCTAGAAAATATTAGGTGTATAAAAATCGTAGTCCAGCTACTTCCCTTGTAGTTCTAAGTATACATTTTAATAAGGCTAATCATTCCAGTACAGGATTTTATGATTATCATTTTAGGCAAAAAAGATGTTTAAGCTATCCTAGACTTCCTCACTGCCTACCTCCTCCCTGCCTTCTTTTGGGTCATCTTGGCTCGGGCTCAGGAAATAGCAAGAGCACCAGTGAAAACGTGAAGAAATGAGAAGGCCTCACAGATGAGGACAGCTAGACCCATAAAAACAATACTAAATTCCACTTTTAGTCAGTAATGGTACAAAAGTTTTTTTTTTTTTAATCCATCAATAGTATTTTAAAAGAAAACATGTCAGTGAAGTTTTATGCCAATAGTTAAGCACTTCTATTTCTAGTCCCACTTTTCAAATTTAAAAGCCAAATGCTTTCCTGACATATCTTTGTGTGCAAAGTAAAAATAATAAGCACAAGTAAATACTATAGCAAAAATATCCTGGTTCCTTTTCAGATGGCATAAAGTTTCTACCATTCTTGTAATCTAATAGTAAAGAGTCTATTTAAAATAAGGGACGATGATTATGAGTACAATGCCAACCCTGACAACTCAGCTTTCATTGTGGAAACACACTAAAATCATACATGATGTGTATCAAATACTACAGTATAATGTTTTTGATATTTCTTTATGTTTTTGAAAAGAAAAAATAATTAAAATGCCATCTTATCCTCTATGCAGAGTGTTTTTGTCTATTTAAACAAAAAGGCATCATCTCCCAGAAATCATCTTGGCTGGCATTAATGCTTAGTTTGGTAGTTAAGTGCCCAAGGCGTTGCCAGAGGCCGTTAAGGCTCGAGGGGACAACAGGGTTGGGCGATGTGGCTTACTAGGAATTAACTATAGGTATAAGTCAAAACTTGTAAGTGGAAGAAGTTACTCACAGTGATTCTCTGTCTTTTCATGTGCCACTGACCTCGCTCCTTTATTAATAAATAGAAAAAGAAGATGCCGTGATTTAACCAAGTTGAATTGGAAATAATTCATATAATGAAATGGGCGCACTCAGGGGACCAATTAATGCCTTTTCAAGCTTGGACTATAAGAACCATTTAAAAAAAAACAACTCTCAGACTACCACTTTAGTTGATTGTTGGTGAACTGAAACTGAATATGAGATGATAAGGATTTTTTGGGAGCTTTTAAAAAAAATTTAATCCTATCTCAGTAAAAGTAAATACATAAGGATTATAAATAAACCAAATCTGAAGTAATATAGATTGGGAGACCCTCAAGAGGGCCAGGAGATAATAAAGATTATACCTCAATATTGGGATTATGATGTTAGTTCTTTATTTCAATAAAAGTGGATAGAGATCTTTCATATCAGGGACAGGGCTTAGCTGTAAGGACGAAGTAATCTTCTGGGAATTATGCATACAGGCTTGACATCATTTTTATTGGATGGCTGATGAACTGGAAAACTCCAGGATAGCCAGGCTTTAATTTGTAATCTTAATTTTCATATAAATCGGTGTGTTCCAGGGGGAGGGAATGGGGGATGTGGGGACATTGATGCTTGCTTGTCTGGTGGTAATGAGACAGCCCTGAAGCACAGGCCTGCAGCACTAACTCATCTAGTATCTGATTCTGTCTTTTCCTCTACCCATCTGTCTTCCATCTTTGCATCTATCATTTAACGAAATTTACAGCCTTCAAATACCAGAGAGGCTAATGTTAGTGTAATCTTCCCTCTACCTCCTCTTGAAATGATCTATAGTAATCTACTTATCATAGAAACGCATGCTATAATGCACAATAATTTAGTCTTCAGCCAGGAAAATGACTGCAATTGTTTTGCAAGCACATATTAAGTTTTTTTTTTTCTTTTCATTTTTATTTTTTAAAAGGTTATATGGCCTGAAAGAGCACTAGTTTTCCTTTGTAAAATAATTATCTTGGTGTATCCCCTGTACAATTTCACATCCACAGGGGTTACATTGGGGTATAGTTACCAAATTAGAAATGAGAACATTCTGTATTATTTGCACATACAGAAACCTTATTAGGATATTCCTAATACAGAATGCTGATGCCCTTCCCATTGTAAAAACTGAATGGACTGCTTTAGAAATATATCAATAAAATAGAATTTCTTCTTTAGATCATCCTAGCCTATTATAATTAAAAGTGACTGTGGACAATTATTCCTTATTATTAATCAGTCCTATGTGCCATATACTTTTCCTTATTTTGTTATTGTTTTGAGGTTTTGTGTATTGTTCAGTTCTACCAGAGATCAAGTTTATGTTACTTTATTTTCATTCTTTTTTGGATTTTGAATGATTTCTTACAAAAGAGGAGGGGAAATCATGGTAATCACTCCATCATTTTCGAACCAGAAATCACATGTAACCTTTGGATCTTCTGAAAACCACAAAACAAAACCACTTTTCTAAAATCTGGGTTTATCAGAATTATTCTAATTTAAGATTCTTCCTAAGGTTGAGAGGTGTTTGTAATTTTTCAAAGATAGATTATCTGTTCTCCAAACTGTTTTGTTTTGTGTTTCAACAACTGACTAGATGTATAGTCCTCTGAAACGTCAGAATATTACCTTCAGAGTAGAAAATATATTCTCATAATCATCTCTCATCTTCTTATTCTTCGAAGCTCCCAGTTTGCCAGTGAAGTCACCATGAAAGTTGAGATAGATAAATGCTGTGACGGTAATCCCAATTGGGAGCACACTCATCTCTTAAACAGTTCTGTCAGCTTGGATTTATCTGCATGGAAGGCATATAAACCATCATTTACATAAATAACTTGAAGTTTGAGTTGGCAAGTATCAGGATGAGTAACTGCCCTGGATTAGATCTATTAAATCAATCGCTGGTTTCAAACAATGAGAAAAGCATGATAGCCAGACAAAAGTTGATCACAACATAATCTTCCTCTGCCTCTTGATGAGGTAACAAAATATGCTGTGCTCATTGAACAGCTGTTTTCATAAGAAGAGCAATAATGAAAAAAGTCTTTCCAGATCCCTCAGCACTTGTACATGGAAACAAGGTTCCCAGATAGGAAATTAAAATGCCAACATGATTTATACTTACCTATGTAGATGTTCTATGGTATTAAACATGTTCTATTTTTAAAGGATAAAAAAGAGAATGTCAATTTTAGAATACTGTTATTAAAAATAAAAAGCAATAGGCATGGCTTGTGTTACAGGCTGAATAATGTCCCCTCTCAAATTCATGTTGTTGTTCTAACCCCCACTATTATAGAAGGTGATCATAGGTGACTATGTTTGGAGATAGGGACTCTTTTTTATTTTTATTTTTATTTTTATTTTTGGCGGAACAGGGGACTGAACTCAGGCCCTTGCGCTTGCCAGGGAAGTGCTTATTCCACTGAGCCATGGAGATAGGGACTCGTAAAAGAAGTGATTAATTTAAAATAGATCACTAGGATGGGCTCTTACCTGATATAAATGGTATTCTTTCAAGAACAGAAAACTAGGACACTGATACCTATGGAAAAAGAAGAGTGTCTGAAGCTGCAGAGAAAAGTGGCCATCTCTAAGCAGAGGAACAAGGCCTTAGGGGAAAAAAACAGTTCTCTGATGCCCCCATCTCTCCTAGGCTTGTAGCATCCAGAACCTAGGAGAGGATAGGTTTCTTTTGCTTAAGTCGCATAGATGTAGTACTTTGTTACTGCAGAACCAGCAAACTAATACGGTATATTTCTCTTTCTAGTTTAAAAGTAAAAAACGAATAAAGATAGTGATGCTCAAAATTAAATCATCTGTACCTTGCACAGACAAAATTCAGACACACAGTGTAAGCATCCTGCTTTTCAGCAATCATGTGGAATTCAGTGTTTCTGTAATTGTATAGCTTTGGCTGTGAATATGTTTCTATCAAATCTTCTGTATTAAGAAGAGCAAAATGTGACATGTCTGGAGAAAGGCTTGCCAGAGCTTCATGAAGCAAGCAAGAAAGCATGTTTCCATAGAAACATCTGTTTTTATCAAGGGGTTAACTTTGAAGAAGTAGTCATATAAGTAGTATCTGTTAATTGATTTGAAAGGTGACATCAAAAAGAACAACATAGCAGTTACTGGGGGAGGGGAGCAGAAGCTAGGGAAACTAGTTTCAAGGATTATTGTGTTAAGCCATTTGATTCTTTCAGTACTCCTAGAAAATGAGGAAAACACACCAAGTTTGAGATCCTCTTATTAAAGATGACAGTTCCAGATGATGTTCCTTTCCCAAACGTTGTCTCCCATTATGCGTCCTTAGAAAAAATTGGTAAAGTGATAGGATGGCATCATCTTGGGTGTTTTTTGTGAAAAGCTGCCCTATCTGTGCCTTCTATCACATGAGAACAGAAAGTGAAATGAAGTCTTTGAGGACCAAGAAGTCACTCAATAAGTATTTGTGGCACACCGCCCAGTAAGAGTGCTCTGTTGGATCCATGCAGGCCTTTCTAGAGGAAATGAACAATCTTTCTAGTGAAATGGGACATTTTGGACTCACAAAACTACTAAATGAAAACCATGCTCCTAGATCTCAGAACAACCACATGAACTGATTACATGACCTTATCAGTTGCGATGTTTTACTTTGGAAAATATAGAAAACATAAGGAGAAAAGGCATAAAGCAGCCCTTCTTTCTAATATTCCTTGGACAGATCTTTAAGATGTATGTGAAATACTCTATCCTACTTATCACTATCTCATTTGCACTCATAGTGGAGTAGGACTTTCTGTTTGAAGACAAATTCTTGTGGAAATATCTCTAGTATTGTGTCAGAGATGATCCAGAAAAGACGTATCAGTCCTACAGAGCTCCCTGCTTGAGCAACCAAAGGACATCCTGAGGAAAGGTTTAGCTCAGGAAGAGAGATAGCTACTGATGAAGGACCACTGCCAATCTGGTGAGTTTCTTATTGCAGCTGTGGAAGATGAGAACCTATTCAAGAGGGGGTTGAGGGGCACCACTTTATTCCACTCAATTGTTTCTGGAGGCCTGGCCTCCTAATTTTGTGACTTGTTATTGACAGACTACTTTGCCTTGTACGTGCTACAATAAAGTGAGGTGTTCAGGAGAAGTTTTGTGTCAGACTTAAAACCAATATACATATATATATATATATACACACACACACACACACACACACACACACACACACACACACAAGGTAGCGAAGATAATTGTACTATCTATTCATTGAAAGGAATAGTTAGTGCTTACATTTGATCAGTTTTGCTGCCTGTGCTGGTGATCTGAGCAACTACTTTGAAGATACCAATATGTGATATAATTGCCATTGTTAATTTCCTTTCATCTTGTTTTGAAATTTTCCATTGTTTTTATTGGGGGGGGTTGTCTCCTAAAAAAAAAATAACAAAAAACCGCAGCCCTTCTCTGTTATTGGTGAGGTTCTGTTATTATGTTGAGTATACACACAAAACATCATGAGAGTATGACCACTTAAGAACCCCAAGCCAGGTTACTTTTGAGGATGAGATGGGGTACTACAAGTAGCCAAAATTATACACTTCTTCAAAATATATATATTGGCTCATGCTTTATTATTTTGGACATTCAATAAAATATTTCTATTTAATAACTTCAAAATTAAATTCTTGCTATAAATATAAAGATATATAATATCTATCTGAATTTTCCAAATACTAAAAGGTACTTATTATTGGTTCATACTTAGATGCTGAATCAATCAGTCCCTATCATATCACTGACTTTTTTTCTGTATTTTAAGGAAGGGTCTACAGGGTGTTCAGGGTCTCTTACTAGATTGGACTCATAGTGGTCCACCTGTTTACAGCCTCCCAAGAGCTGAGATTATAGGCGTGCGCTGTGCACCACCACGCCCACTCTCAATTGCCTTCTCACCTTGCCCTGGGGCGGGGCCAGCATGACAGGCCTGGGGATCAAAACCTTGGCTCCTGCGCCTGCTTGATTAACCACTGAGCTATTTGGCCGGCCCTTTCACTGACTTTTTTTTGAAGAATATGTCTTAAAATTCTGTTATTTCAAATTTTTAATGAAATTTTATGAAACTTTCTCAAAAATTATATTTTGTGAGGAATATAATTAAAATTTCTGCTTCTCAGCTGGTCATGGTAGCACAAGCCTGTAATTCTGCACTAGGAAGGCTGAGACAGGAGGTTTACTGTGAGTTCAAGGCCTTTCTGGCTGCATAGTGAGATCCTGGCTCAAGAAACAAAAAAAAAAAAAAAACAACAACTAAATAAACATAAAATAAAAAATTCCCTGGCAAGCACAAGGGTCTGAGTTCAATCCCCAGTTCCGAACAACAACAAAAATTGCTTATACTTAATTGAGCTTCCTCTGTGAAACATATTTTTCATTAAAATTACTATCTACAGATGTCAAAGTTGTAAATAAGCTCAGAAAATAATTGTGCTAAGTAGATAATAATCTCAATTGTAATGTAATTGAAATATGCAAATAATTCAACCTAAGTATGCTAATAATTAAAATACAAAAGAGATGCAAAAACAAAACAAAATAAAGAGCAGATGAAGAACTCTAAGAAAAATATACCAGGAAGCATGTAAAAGTTAAAACCAAACAGCTAAAAAAGAGGTTTTTGTTTTGTTTTTTTGTTGTGTTTTGTTTTTAGCAATAAAACAATCATGTTAAAAACAAAAGTATGATATAAAGAGGCAAGGCCAGAAAGGGTCTGGAGAGTTTTTTTCTCCATCTGGCCAATAGGAGAATGACACAATCTAACCATTTTTGTTCCTTAAAATGAAAAAGTTCATAGAAGGCTTTTTTGTCTCTATGAAAATCTGCTAACTTATTCTAATTTTTAGAAGTACATGAGTGTGAAAGAGAGATAACATCTATTATTCAAGCCAAAAGAATACTACTTAAATTTTGTCCAAAAAGCAATGATTGAAGTATTAATGACTTAGGTTATCCATGTGTGTTTTGTCTCCAGTCAGATTACAGCGCATCTGCTCCAGGGAGCTTCACGTTTTCACAAGTAGGGATGAAACAGCAAGCTTCTTCTGCACTCTTTCTCATTTCCCTCAATATTGAATCCTAACTCACTGTCTGTCAGGATCATCATCACCGTGGTGGACAGAGTTTGAGAAATTATCAGACTCAAATCTGAAAATAGGTTTTGAAGGCCCAGTGAGATAGCTCAGCAGACTAAGTACCTGCTTAGGCAAGCAAAGGGACCAGGTTTAATCCCCGACATCACATGTCATGCCAGCTGGGCCCCAGGTGCACTGAGCCAGCCACCAAGACAGGGCATGGTGGCGCATGCCTATAATCCTACTGCTGGGGAGGCTAAAAACAGGAGGATCACTAATGAGTCCAAGCTACATAGTGAGACCCTGTACCAAATATATATATATTTGAGGTTTTGAGCCAAGTGAGTGATTTGTAATGTTTTTCCAATGACCATTGTCAGAAGTAAAAATGAATCTAAAATTTTACCTCATATATTGCTTCTTTCTCTATTAGAGATATGTCTTACATGCTTTTTTAAAAATATTACCTCCATTGGAAGGTACATGCAAAAGAAAGCTTTGAGAGAATAGGAGAGAAAAGGCATATGGAAATAAAACTGAAAGCAATACATGGAAAGGGCAAGGTGACAAATATATTGCTTTTAGTGTGTTTTAAGTACCATAATAAAAAGATGCTAAAATTCAATGGCAAAAATAAATAAATGCTTTAGTTCTTTCTTAGGTAATAATCCAGGGATGAGCATTTCAGGCTATAAAAGAAACTCTACAGCTGTCTTGTAGCCCTCTGATTCCCAAAGTTATTCCTCTCCATTGTGGTTGAAGTTGGGTCATCCATACTGCTCTGTGCTTCCTTTTGTAAGGACAGAAAGATCATGTGACAGGCAAGCAATTTCTTCTTTAGGTCATGTTACATGCAAGTGTATAAATGGGGAGACAGTCAATGCTATAGATGTGGTATACGAAATATACATGCTATGGACATATGTAATACAATACAAATAACACACTATCCAGAAAAGATACATATGTTAAATACACATATAATCTCAACCTGCATTGTCACAGTAAAATGAGACTGTTATGACGCAGTTGAATGTTTTTACAGAAAATAC